TTGCAATCGTTCGCTTAAATTCGATTAAATTTTTGTTTTTGTTTAATATTTTTCTTATTTTTAATTTGTATTTCTGCAAATGAATAGTGTCAAATTTAAGATGAAACAAAGTAAAATAAAAAAAAAAAGAAAGAAAGAAAGAAAGAAGAATTGAGGAACCTTTTTCGCCGCGCTGTACAATAACCCGATTGGTAAATCGCTTTACTTTTATTTTTTGTTTTCATTTTGTATCGTGTTTGTACATATGTAAGTAGATAGATAAAATACAAAGAAACATTTAAAAAGAAAAAAAATAAACCAAGCGCCGCGTATTCGCTTAGAAATGTAAGATGTTTATAAGATGAAAAGGAAAGGGATAAAAAAAATTAAAAAAAAAAAATATGTGGCCGACGCAGGTATATAAGTGATGTAGAAAAAAAGAGAGATAGTGAGAGAATGTGGGTTGGGGGAGGGGAATCGCGCAAGTGCCTTCGACAATTTTTACTTAGAGAGAAAAATATAGATTGATAAAATAGATAAAAAAAAAATGAAGATAAGAGTAAAATACGCGAGACATGTTCGAAAAGCGATGAAGATTAATCATTGTTATCTGATCGTTCACTGATTTTGTCTGCATTATTTTACCGTCAAATAATTGATATAAATTAGTACTTAACGGGTCCAAAATATAAATAATAAAAATGTACTTTCGGAAATTACGAATATGTCGAACGGAGAAAAAATAGTAAACGAAACGATAGAAGGAAAGAAAGAAAGAAAGAAATGTATGATAAATGAACGAAATTATGAAAAATTGTTCTTATATGAATTTTTCTCACGTTCCTGTCGAATGAACGAGAGAAATCTAGACTGTAATCGAATTAATCAGAAAGAAACGAAGAAAGATCGATAGATGATTATATAAATAAATCGATAGATAGATAAAGTAAACGGGTTATAGAAAGGTCAGTGCCACGAGAAGCAAATTAGTTTATATATATTAATATTGCGCACATATGCACGTCACGTACACGTACATATATATATATATATATATATATATATGTATATATATATATATATTATCGATAACCAAATCTTAGTACAATTCTAGTAAAGAAATCGAGTAATATAAGAGTGCCTTTTACGAAGTTCATGGAGAAGAAATAAAGAAAGATATGAAAAAATACATACACGAACTACACAAAACATGATAATATCTACAAGGGCAATTTGAAAAGGATCGCAAGTTTTTCAAATTATCCTGGTAATTACACACTCACACGTGCGATGTGTTAAATCGAGATTAATAAAATAAAATTATACATTTTTCCACATTCGGTCATATATTATTTTCATATTATTTTCTTTTTCATTATAACAACAATTAATAATAATAATAATAATAATAATAATAATATTAATAATAATATTAATAATAATAATATTAATAATAATAATAATAATAATAATAATAATATTAATAATAATAATATTAATAATAATAATAATAATAATAATAATAATAATAATAATAATAATAATAAATAATAATAATAATAATTCATGTTTCATTAGAAAATAAAACAAAGAAAAAGAAAATAATACGCTTTGTATTCATCGATGTGTTCCTTATTAATAATTATTAACGCGTGGCCACGCGTTTAATGTATAAATCAAAAAAAAGAGAAAAAAAAAGAAAAAAAAGATTAGAAAACAGACAGAAGTTAATTAGAAATTAAAAGCGGAGCTAAAAAGCAATGAATGAAAAGAGATGGATGGATAGATACATAGAAAAAGAGAATATACTGACACACACACATACACACACACACACGCTCGTCGCTCTGTCCTTTTTAAAACCGATCGTGCGGGAAACGACGGTTCTCTAACGGGTCGAACCTATTCCTGCACCGCGTCTCGACGTTGTAAGCCCTATATATATATATATAATTATTATATTATTAATATTATTATATTATATTATATTATATTATATTATATTATATTATATTATATTATATTATATTATATTATTATTAATATTAATATCATCAATCGATATTGTTATTCACTAATTGTATACGCATATTTTTCATCTGTTGTGTCCTATTTTACTCACAAGTGCATCTTTTCTCGTATATATTTTTTTAATATCTTTTTAATTTTTTCTTTTTTTTTTTTTTTACCGACAGAAAGTTCCGCGTATCGAAAGAGCTTTTTCTCTTCTTTCCTCGCTCGCCACCTATTCCCCCTCCCTCGTTTTTCTTTTTTTTTTTTGTTCCTATATAAATAATTTCCATGCACCACCATTCATTGTATGCATATTGTTTTTACAAACGATGGATAGGAAAACAACATAAACACGCATACACAGACATACCATTTTACAAATAAGCTCGCGAATGAATACCAAAACTCTACGATTTATTTCCTTTTTTCTTTTTTATCTTTTCTTTTTTTCTTTTCTCTTATCGAGAGCAATTATAATTTTCGTTCGTTATTTCGAAAATATTTTTGC